CTCATGCAGCAGGTGTCATTGGAGCTGGGAACCCGACGTTGGGAACTCATTCATTTCCTTTTCGACATCGCCTTAATGACTGATGCCCTGCTGGAGTTTGAGGTAGGTCTTGACTCTTAATGTCGAGCTCTCACAAAGGGTTCGAGCGTGCATCCCAGTTTGTGTCCTTTTGTAGATTATTGTTAGGGTAATGCCACTGTGGAAGATGTCACGAGTGCAAATGGTTCAGGAAACTATGGTGTTTAAGCGATTTCTAACTTACTAGCTTCAAAAATTCCGATCGGAGGGCTAGACATGAGTAGCTTGATTGGCAGCACAATGCGCTTCGATGCGCGCATTCTGCACGACTTTGATCTAAAGGTGGTACCCTTGTTGTACAGCTTGAAGGTGATCGAAACCAAGTCTCGAATGTTAAATGAATGACTGAATCTGGATGTAGCCTATTTCCTTATAAAGGCTAGTGTCTCCGACATCAACCCCCTTGATGAGCACTATGAGGAACTCAAGAATCAGATTGAGGTCTGTACATTGAGCTTTTTCAATCAATGTCTTAATAGGGACTCTTTTCTGATTATACAGTCAGCCCTTGAATTGGGGCTTGGGGAAGTTTTAACAGGTTGCGGACTACCTGTAAATCGCTCACGCTCCAACGCATTCCATCGATACCTCGGAGGTGATAGACGCCTTTTTTGAGGGACGGGGAGTCGGAGCGTATAAAGGTGCTGAACAATCGCATGATGCTCTGGCGCTGTTCTCGTCGCACAGACCGGACAGGCATTCTGTGGGTACTCTTCTTCCACTTAAATCTATTTTAGTAGCTATAATTACTTATCTGTGAGCCCCTCGTCGTTCTTGCTTGGTAGGGCACAAGGTTTGCAAGTAGCACCTTTTGATGCGCCTTCGACGGGGTATTTGTTGAGCAAGGGCGCCTGCTTCTCCGACGTGGTGAGCAAATCCGCTGATTACTGCTGTACCTCGCCCAGTGCCTTCTCCTCTGTAAAGTGGCTGTCGGTAAAACTCAAGACTGTTTCGCTGCCAGTACTTCTCGAGCCTTCAGGCAAACTGGCAGTCGCAGAGGCAAATCTGTGCCTTTTCAAGCTGTTGCTTTGCTCGAAGAGTGTGTCAACCTTCTTTTATATGTACTGCCTCTTGGCAAGCATGCCTACTTGAATATTATGTGACATGTTTTGAGTTCAACGTTTGCAGTTGTTTTTTTAATTTGTTCGTCAAATTACGCTCAACTATGAAATTAAACCCTACAATTGCAATCTTTGCTGTTATACTTTTACTAAAAATCATTTGGTCCAAATCGGGCAAAATAAGTTTGCTTGAAGGAAGTTCCTGTT